ATTATCTAGCATCTATCTATCTACCTATTGCTATCATCTATAGCTATCTCTCTCATCTCTCCCTCCCTCCCTCCCCCCCCCCCCCTCTCTCTCTCTCTCTCTCTCTCTCTCTCTCTCTCTCTCTCTAAACTAAAGACCGAAGGAAGGCTTATATAATGAACTAATGAAAAAATGGGCATAGGCCTTCTACAAGCTTTTGCTACTAAGCAGCTTACTACGTTCAAAAGCAGAGATATGAAAAACACGTTGACTTTCAAATGTTTTGAGGTCAATGCCGGCTGTTTCAACCTCGCTGGAAGTTTCCCCCACACTCTTCCAATCGTTCTGGAAGAGCTCCAAGCTTGGATGCTCCATTTTGAAGCAAGTGAAAAAGACGGCTGGAATGATCGCAACAGCATTGGAAGACTCCCAGTAAGTTTGGAAGAAACCGTGTCAAGCTGGAAACAAGGGTTATGAGCTTCAAAATGGGGAATATTTCGACTTGGAAATTGTTTGCCCACTTTTCATTTCAAAGCCAACCAGCTCTGTAGCATAGAAGAGCAACCAGGATGATTAGAAGACTGGAGGCTCAAACATACGAAGAACGGTTGCAGGAACTGGGCATGGCTAGTCTAGTGAAGAGAAGGACCAGGGGAGACACGAGAGCAGTCTTCCAATATTTGAGGGGTGCCACAGAGAGGAGGGGGTCAAGCTATTCTCCAAAGCACCCAAAGGCCAGACAAGGAACAATGGAAGGAAACCCATCAAGGAGAGATTCAACTTGGAAATAAGGAGGAATTTTCTGACAGGGAGAACAATCCACCCATGGAGCAGAAGTTGCCTTCGGAAGTTATGGGAGCTTCATCACTGGAGGCTTTCAAGAAGAGATTGGACTGTCATATATCAGAAATTGCATAGGGTCTCCTACTTGGGCAGGGGAGTTGGACTAGATGACCTCCAAGGTCCCTTCCAACTCTGTTAATCTGTAAGGTTGATTTCATCCTACTTTGCTTGGAAACCTGCTTTGTATTGGACTGAGTTCACTTCCCTTTCTAGCATCATAAGCAGAATTTAAAAGCACCCCCTTGTTTATACCTGCCCAGGTAATCCTCGACTTATAACCATTCACCATTATTACAACGGCACTGAGAAAAGTGAGTTATGGCTGGTTTAATGACCGTTGCAGCATCCCCGCCCGTCATGTGATCAAAATTCAGGCGCTGGGCAACTGACTCATATTCATGACGTGTCCTAGGGTTGTGCAATCCCCTTTTGCGACCATCTGACAAGCAAAGACAGTAGGGAAGCCAGATTCACTTAACAACAATGTTACTGACTTAACAGGTGCAATGGTTCACTTAACGACTGTGGCAAGGAAGGTTACAAAATGGGGTGAAACTGACTTAACAACAGGGGCGGGATTGAAAACTTTTAGCAACCAGTTCTCGGCCCTGAGTTCCTGGGTGGGCATGGCCATGGGGGCATTGCCTACTTGCCCTCCTGCACCATGGGGGGGGGCATTTTCACCCTCCCCAGGCTCCAGAGGGTTTGTTTGAGCCTCCAGGAGGGCAAAAATGGCCTCCCCCGGGCTCCGGAGGCCGGAAACGCACCCATTTCTAGACTTCCAGAACTTCCAGGAGGCCTGTTTTTCGCCCTCCCGGAGCCTGTAGGCGTGCCCTGCACTTACCTGGTATGATTAACGGGCTTCTTGGAGACACCTGAGAAGGGCGTGGCCAGCCAGTCCTTCCAAGTACCAATTCGGCGAACCAGATGCAAAATTAGCTTACCCGAACCAGTCCGAACCAGCTGAATCCCACTCATGCTTAACAAGTGTCTCACTTAGCAGCAGAAATTTGGGGGTTCATCTGTGGTCGTAAGTCGAGGGCTACCTGTATTGAACTGTGAAGGTGACCGCGGGAAAACTGTACTGAAATTTCAGATTTGCAAGATTTTGTGAAGATTCCGTACCTGTAGTTTTCCAACGAAACATAATAAACTCATCTGGCCATGTTTCCTGTCTGGTCTACCTGGTGAGGCTGACATTAATCTTCCAAATCTCATGAAGAGGAAAATCTGCTCCATTCTACCATCTGTCCAGACTTTGAAAGGAGCTGATGATGGAAAGGCACCAGAGAAAGGAAACAAGTCCGTAATTAAGAATCCTACACTTTCCCCTCCTTTTCTATTAAAAAGTATTCTCCACGGGGATCCCAGTCTATCAGCCAGAATATTTGTAAAAAACAGACTTCAGAATACCTAAAACACGAGGGAAGGGAGAATGGAAGGAAGAAAGGAAGAAAGGGACGGGAAGATAAGGAAAGGAAGGAAAGGGAGGGGAGGAAGGGGAAAAAGAAAGGGAAAGGAAGGGAAGGTAGAAAGGAGGGGGGAAGGGAAGAGGAGGGGATGGAACGAATGGAGAAAGTATAGGAAGAAAGTAAATAAAGAATGGGAAGGGAGAAAGAAAAGGTAGAAAGAAAGGGACGGAAGGGGAACGGAAGGAGAGGAGAAAGTAAAGGAAGAAAGTCGATCCGAAAGGTCAACAATTCCACGGTTCGAATCCCTAGCGCCACGTAACGGAGGGAGCTCCCGTGACTTGTCCCAGCTTCTGCCAAACTAGCAGTTCGAAAGCACGTAAAAAATGCCAGTAGAAAAATAGGAACCACCTTTGGTGGGAAGGGAACAGCGTTCCATGCGCCTTCGGCGTTGAGTCATGCCAGCCACATGACCACGGAGACGTCTTCGGACAGCGCTGGCTCTTCGGCTTTGAAACGGAGAGGAGCACCGCCCCCTAGAGACGGGAACGAGTAGCACAGATGTGCGAAGGGAACCTTTACCTTTACCTATTTATATATATATCACGGATTTTTTCTAAAANACCTAGCAGTTCGAAAGCAGGTAAAAAAGGCAAGTAGAAAAATAGGAACCACCTTTGGTGGGAAGGGAACAGCGTTCCATGCGCCTTCGGCGTTGAGTCATGCCAGCCACATGACCACGGAGACGTCTTCGGACAGCGCTGGCTCTTTGGCTTTGAAACAGAGATGAGCACTGCCCCCTAGAGCTGGGAACAACTAGCACATATGTGTGAGGGGAACCTTGACCTTTAGTATGAGCATCTAAGCAAGGCAGTTCTTAAGTGCGCTTTTTGTGTCCTTCCTTGCCACAGTTGATAAGCAGATCTGGCTTCCCCATTGACTTCGCTTGTCTGAAGGTCGCAAAAGTTGATCACATGACCCCGGGGAAATGGCCACCGTCATAAATACGAATCAGTTGCCAAGCATCCCAATTTTGATCACATGACCATGGGGATGCGACAAGGATCGTAATGTGAAAAACTGGTCATAAGTCACTTTTTTCAGTGCCGTTGTAACTTTGAACTGTCATTAAATGAATGTTTGTAAGTAGAGGATTACCCAGTACAATGGGCTCACTTAAAGACCACCACATTCCTTTAACGACTGTGGTGTTTGCTTAACAACCGTTGCGAAAAGATAATAAAAGCAGACACAGTCATGTGGCCTCCTGCTTAAAGAGAGTCCCGGCTTATGACCATAATTCCAGGCTAAATTCTGGTTGTGAGTTCAGGACCAGTTCCCCCGCTTAAAGAGAGTCCCAGCTTATGACCATAATTCCGGGCTCAGTTCCGGTCGTGAGTTAAGGACCACCTATAATGGTGTCGTACATCCCTCTTGTGTCTAACATGTCCCTCTCTTTTCCATCTCCCTTCCTGCCCCTCCTCAGTCAATCTTAGGGGTGCAGTGCGAAGTCCAGAAACAGCTGAAGGCCTTCGTCACGTTGGAGAGCTTCGAACAGATCTACACGTCGAGCATCGCTGGGTGCCAAGAAGTCCAGGAGAACCGCCATTTTGCCTCGGGAGACTCCATCGTCGGCAAGGGGGTCAAATTTGCCATGAAAGACGGCCGGGTGACCACCGATATCATCAGCAGCGCCAACGAGGACGGGCGGAGAGTCGCCGCCATCCTCAACAACGCCTATTACCTGGAGAACTTGCACTTCACCATCGACGGCACGGACACCCACTACTTCGTCAAGCCCGGGCCGTCGGAGAGCGACTTGTCCATCCTCGGCCTCAGCGGGGGGCGGCGGACCTTGGAGAACGGTGTCAACGTCACCGTCTCCCAAATCAACACCGTGCTCAGCGGGAGGACTAGACGCTACACGGACATCTCGCTCCAGTTCGGAGCCCTGTGCCTCAACACCCGATACGGGACCACGTTGGACGAGGAGAAGAGCCGCGTCTTGGAATTGGCCAGGCAACGGGCCGTGGCTCACGCCTGGGCTCGGGAGCAACAGAGACTACAGGACGGGGAGGAGGGTAGCCGGTCCTGGACAGAGGGGGAGAAGCAGCAACTGCTGAACACGGGACTCGTTCAGGGGTACGACGGCTACTTCGTCATCTCCGCCGAACAGTATCCGGAACTCTCCGACAGCGCGAACAATATCCATTTTATGCGACAGAGCGAAATGGGGAGAAGGTGACAGAGAGGGGACGATGCGTTGACTTCTTGCCAAAGACCGCTGCTTGAGACTGCGACGTACTTGAGCCTTCTTCTTTTCTTTTTTCTAAACAAAAAGGAAAACAAAACAAAAACAAAACAGAGACACAAAAGAACTTTACGGAAAACAGGCAAGGTGGAGGAAAAAACACGGTGGCACCATAGCTCAGGCAACATCCTTTATTTTAGATTTTTTTTTATCGTTTCAAGTGGCTTTCTCACCTTTGGCTGTTTTTCATTCCTTCTCTTCCCTCCATCCCCCCTCCCCTTTTCTCTCCTATCCATCTTCTCTTTTTGGAAGTGTCATTTCGCCATTGTGTGTTGAGCCCCTTGTGCAAAAAAAAATATATGCTTGAAGGTTGGGGAGGTGTCGGTTTCAACACCCTGGTTGGTTTTCTTTCGTTGTGTTTCCTATTTTTATTTTTAACGGGGTGAAGAAAAGAAAAGGGGAAAAAAATAGCCTCTGTATTAGGTTTGGGGGTTAACCTTTCCTAGTGGGGGCATAGAGAAAAAAAATTAAGGAATAAGAGGATTCGTGAGGAACGAAAACAGGAAGAAGAAGAAGAAGGCATCATCGCGGAGAAGAAGAAAAACTCACAATTTCCTGCAGCGCCGTGTGAAGAAACCGTAGCAGGTCCTTCAAACCGTACGGTGAGCCTCAAAAGAAGAACTTGTGGGCTTGTTTTTACATTGGCCATTCTTTCTTCCTAACCCCCCGATGCTGTTTCGGGGTCATTTGCCGAAAGGTGGCCGAAACCGCTGCATCTTAAAAGACTTGTGAGCTTAATCCTTTCTCTTTTTAAATTTATTTTTTAATGGGTCTTTTTTTTTTTACGACAATAGGTTATTTTGTTCCAGCGGTTTTGTTTTCTGCCGTTGTGTGACAGAGGATGTGTCTTTTTTTGTCCTTCGAGGGGGGAAAAAAACACCCATCGCAGCTATCGGAGCGGGGTGGGAAACGAAAAGGGGGGGGGGAAGGAAATTCACGCTATTGCTGCACATACTGTTAGATGGGAAGCACCAATGATGTATATTTGTCAACAGTAAACCCTCCTTAAATATATAGTATTTCTGTACACCAAGTGAAGCGTGTTTAACTCTTGAGACCTTCTTCTCTGACCCATGGAGGTTTTGTCTAGAGTTAGGGTCATCCTTCATGATGAAAATCCCAATTCCTCCATATATATATTCAGAGCCGCTGATGTGAGAGTTACAGCAAGCGCCTCCTATTTCATTTGCCTTTTTTTTATTTTTTATTTTAATGAAGCTGTCAGCGTTCCAAGCATCATGTAGAATTAAATCAGAGTCCAAGGCAAAACGATCCTCAAAGTTCCAATTTAATAAAGCAGACATCTTAGCACATCTGTGAAATCCCAATTCTAAAGAGCTTCCTGGGGTTCCCGCCCGGTTAAAAGTTCATGATCTTGTCCCCACGCCCACAAATCCATCACATGGTCCAATCTTCTTCTTCTTCCACGCTGTCATCTCCACCCAGCTGCTTCCGGTCAGGTGTAAAAGTGCGGAGACTAGAAGATGACTTTGGTCTTCTAGGAAAGAATGACAACAGCACATTCCACAATCCTACTCCTTTCTATTCCCCCCTCCCATCAACT